TAGACACCGATATAAAAATGCCTAGCTATGAAACAAGTAAGAGAACAAAGAATAAACCTGTGTTTGCACTGTAACGCCATCGACATCATTTCTGACGATGGGGCTTAATAAATAAATAAATAAATAAATAAAAATAAAATTAGTTATTTTATTTATTATTTATTAAACGTGAAACTAAACTCGTACTTCTGTTTCAATTAACCAACTCTTAACGAGAGATAATATAAATAACTAAAAACTAAAAGAATAGGAAAGAAAACACACAAAAAATGACTATCTAATTTACAACATTAAAAAAATTATCCTCATCATAGTCGTGAGAAAGGGTACCCAAAAGACTGGCAGCATTGCAATGCAACGTTGGATGGCAATGCTTAACCTTTGATCACCTGAAGTGTCATGTCAACCATCCTCTTTACAATATCTTAATAAAGAAGATGTGCACTTGAACCCCACAGCCCTAGTTTCAACCCCAAACGTGAGATATATTTTATTATGTTGAAAGTAGTGGCCATAACCAGGACTTATCAAATAATAATTTTCTTTTAATGTTTTTTTGCCTTCGTTGTTTTTTTTTACTGCACTTTTTTTTAATGTTATTTTATGTTCTTATTGTTTTTTTTTTTCAATGTTATTTTGTGTGTTCATATTCGGTGGTCCATGCCTGGTGGCGAATAAATATATTTTTCTTTCCTTCTTTCTTTCTAATATCACTAAATCCTTACCTCTCTCACTCCAATGTCCTTGAGATTCTTGACAGTTTCCAAAGTGATGATAACTTGAGCAGTCAACGTGATGTTTCGCTGCATTATTATTGAATCATTTACCTGTTGAAACAGACATTCAATTACCATTTATTTTTTTTACATTATTAATAGTTCGATGGTTTTATGATCTTATTTCTCTATTGAATGTTTTCGACTAGGTTGGAATCAGTATGCTACATGGAAGTATTTGATTATATGGCTAGAAAATTTTGGAACTAAATGAGATATAACATTATTTTTGTCAGATCAAATCCACCAACCATTAATTAAGTATGTACCTAAATTAACTAAAAATTGCAGGTTACTCGTGAAAATACTGAGAAAAGCTCTACTAGTTTCGAACTACAGAGGGGTCCTTACCTATGAGTCATCGCCTCATGAGTAGGCTGCACGACATCACCGCGACCGCGCACACTGCTCATGAGTAACTCGCGATTATTAGTTAATTTAGTATATCTCGCGATACTTATTATAACAAGTATGTATGATAAATAAAATAAATAAGTAAGAGTATTACTTCTATAGCAGTGGGGTCGTGCCATCCAGTATTGCTGAATGCTTCTCTATACAGCGAGCTGTTCTTGGGCACCACGATGGTAGCGTTGTCATTTCTGTTCGGTAGCCACGTCACCTCGTAGAACGCACCTTCGGGGGTCTGATGGTCTAATATCCATGACACTGCCATTGATATCACCTGTGAATATTAATTAATTAGCTTTTTGTAAGACACATTTCCTTTTTATAAATACCGATGTTACTCGTAATTAGTCGAATATCCAGAAATAGTGAATTTTTTTTTTACACTTTGCCCCACATCAGGGTTTTCTCCTGTGTCGTGGCTGCGTTAACAGACATACAAGTTCACATACACAATGAATGACACCCAGACCCGAAACAACAATTTGTGGATCACACAAAGTATTGTTCCGTGCGGGAATCGAACCCGCTACACGTTGCATGGCAGCCGCTTGCCCAGCCACCGCACCAACCGTGCAGTCATAGCAGAATAGAAGATTTAAATAAAAAAAAATTACATATGATAAATATATTTTCGACTACAAACTCACGTGTGGCTTCTGAGCCAATTCAATTTAATAATTTATGAATACCGCAAAAAATAGTTTTATGCGAATAAACAGACGTAGCAAAGTAGATATAAAATAATATAGAATAATAGGAAATAGTTTGACATTTTATTGTACAAGTTCTTACCTCAGGGTCGATGTAAATAAAGTTCTCCCACTCGTTGAACGATGCATCTTGGAATATCTTCGCGCAGAATGAGGTCAACCATACACTTGATGCAGATTGGTTCCT